AACACTGTCCTCGATAAACTCGTTCCTCGAATAAACATTCGAATGCTTCGAAATCTCATGAACCTAATGATTTCAAAGGAACTTCGAAGTAAATTTCTAAACTATAAACCCAGAGACTCAAAATTGTATAGAATCCCATAGGGAATAAACCTTAATTCCAAAATTAAATTTAAAGCTCTACACAGAACCTTTACACAAGTCAATTATAAGACGGAAAAACGAATGTTTTTTTTTTTTTTTTTCGGTAAACAATCAGCTCCCCAAAGTTCATCAACATTTGAAAGAATCACAAGCACAGGTATGAGGTTTGGAATCAGGCTAAAAACACTTAGGTGCGCATTAGAACTTCTTTTATAAGACTATCAGCATAAAACAGTAGTTTCTACTTTTTAGAAACTATTTCAATTTCAGGGTCAAGGACCTGGAACAAACATGCTAAATTTTGTAAATTTGATGCGTTCTCATTACCTATATGTTCTAATGTGTCTGAACTTAAATTTGAAAATTGAACTTCCTTTTTATGGACTTTTATTAATCTACAGCGGCATAGGTCTCAGATCTATCCTAGATATCGAGATCTATCCTATGACTATTTGATTTCTACACACATGGGAACGTGTTATTTCATCGAAATCACATTTACTTTTGCATATGCCATGACATAAACTTATGGTGCTCTGAGAGTTTCTGATACCTGGAGTCTCTAAACTATCCCAGGCAGAGCCTGTGTCAGGACTATTGGTACAGTTAGGAACAAAGGAACCAAAATAAGGACTGCCTGGGGAAAACAGGGCCATTGGCCATCCCGCACCTGCCAGCGGAGCTCCATATTTCAGCTGTAAAAATTTCGATGCCATGTATTGGCTCCAGCTTCTCAAATGCAATACACTGCATCGTTAATTTTGCGGCTTCATCTCGGAAGGCTATAAATCGAGTGTTCTTATTGTCTTAATTTTATGTAACCATTAATAACATTTGCGAAAGGACACAGGAAAGAAGAAATTGCTATTCTAGAAACGCTTCTGTCTGTCTCACCCCAAAGCAGTCACTGGAAAGACAGCATGTTTTAGACCCCAATATTAGTCGTTTAGGATTAAGGAAAATGAGCCCCAAAGTTTAGATACTAGTTTGGCTCTTCCAATAAGGAACCTGATCCACCCGTCTTCTGTTTGTCACACTCAGGCTTCTCGTCTTCAAATATGACGTTCCCCCAAACATGAGTCACGTATTTGAGCTTAGAGATTATGCCAAGAAGGGAGGGACTTGAAAACCAGTTATCCTGGAACGAATCCCAGAGTCCTTAACTTATCCGGCCACCTACCTGGCATTTGGCCATCAGCCGGAAGATGAATCCTGTGAAACGAGGGGATTGTCACAGCTGGAAAACCAGGAGGCCACGCCTCATTCACGGGCTCACTGAAGGGCCAAGGGGGTGGATTACCCAACCGGGGCGCACGGTACATTCACTCACCTGTTTATGTTGCTATCTAATAATGTATACATTATTTCTGTATTTGCATATAATATATAATATATGTACAGAACACTGTACACGTATATCATATTGTATGACAATGACTATCTCCTTTAATACCCAGCCAAGGCCAGGCTCTACAGGACAGGGCTATCTCGAAGTGTCGTGCCAACCCTACAAAAAGGCATCGTTACAACTACTTTGTATAGATGGAGAAATTGAAGTCCAAAAAGTTATATGATTTGACAAAGTTCACACCCCTTCTGGCTCCAAGATGTTACTCTATTCCACATTGCAAGTCACACCTTAGATTTATTTATTTTTTAACTCTAGCCTAATGACACCCTGTGAAAAAAGATTTTTCATAAATAGAAATTCAAAAATACTCCTTCTCCTGGAACACAGTTGATCTAAGTTTTAACACCTATAAGAGTGCAGGTGGGGCACAGATGGCTGCTGCCAGCTTCGTGGGCTCCACCCTGACTTTCCTTATTTCCCACGGGTGCCCTGGGAAGCCCTGGGAAGCCCCGGGGCCTGGGGCTCCTCGCCACGGGTGACTGCGTAAATGTCTGTGCCGTCTCTAGCAACTCAGTGTCACTGCTCGTCTCAGAGAAGGTCCAACTGACAGAAAAACAAGACATAAATTGCAGAAAGGAGCAGGCGACCGAGTTGAGCGAAAGCGCGCGCTTCCGGGGAACGCCGACCGGACCGGCCGTGACACGCGGAGGGATACGCGCCCTGTTGCGCTGTTGCTTTCTGTCTGTCATTTACATCCGGTCTCATTCTCAAAACGGTTTTGTAGTGGGACTTGAAATATATTTGAATCTAAATTTGACAAGACATTGATTTACATAAAAGACGAATGAGGGAAGAAAAAAGACACAGATGGATAACGTTGTTCTCCCATTGAAATTGAGGATGAAATTTTTTCTAATGCTACATGCTATAAATTTCTAATATAATTTTAATTGTAAATAAATGTATCTGTTACTACAGACATCTGCTTAAAGAGTATATATAGTTCTGTGAAGATGAAAATAAGCTATCCTTTAATCATAAAGCAGGATTTATTAAAATGCTATTAAAGCGAGATTATTTTTATAGTGAAAATACCATTGTCATTGACAAGCTTCTGGTAGAGCTGATTTACGGTAACACCGCCACTCTGAAGAATAGTTTAAGTCATAGCTAGAATGTTCCAATTTTATAATTTGACCCTCTGGAAATACAGCAAACTGCATTCTGGCATTGTACTGACAGGTTTCCAAGATAAGTAGAAAATGAAGCTGAAGCTCATATATTTTTTTCCCCTTCAAATGTCAGAAAGATATTAAGCAGAAAATAGTTGAATGCAGAATTCCTGGTGCATGCATCCAGAATGTTCCAAAATAATTAGCCACGTTTGGGACCAATTAAGGCTACGATATAAACCATAAATTCCCCACTTGATAAAATCTAAGTAGGGATATAGTCCTAAAGCCAATCGCTTCTTTCGTTAAGCATATGAACATGTGTGTGTTAAAGATTTAAATAAAAAGTATAATGAGAAGACGTAGAAACCAGCCGTTTTTGCCTGCTGGTCTAGCGCTCCCAGCGGGACCCGTCTTTGTGGCGGGTGACCGTGGTCTTCTTTACGGGTTTCCCTGAGGACGAGGGAGATTCTAAGTGTCTTTTGAATGTCACTGTTTTGCTTCCTCTAGACAGGAAGGTAGAGAACATTTAAGTTCCACATCCTACGGTGGGATGACAGAAGCGTGAACAGTGTCGTAGCCTCGAGCTACCCCTCCCCAGGCAAGGCAGGAAGTGTGTCCGTCAGCGCCCAGCTTCGGTGATGGTCAAGGGCTGACGCAAATGTGGACGTAGGAGGAAAGTGACAGAGAGGCAACTTTTACAGTGAAAAAAATGGAAATAGTCATAGTATGTATGTCATAGGCTTCTGTGAGGATTATTGAAAAGACAATTGCAAATCGCATACTTCCAACATGTTCGCTCTGAGACTTTTGGGGGTGGCCGTTGGTCGATTTTTCCATTTCTCCAATAACCTCAGCTTTATACCCTCTAGCTCTATCTCTCTCAAGTTAATTAGGATCTAAACATAATGAGCGAACGTAGGGTTTCTTTTATCATACTTGACCAACATGCATGCATGGAGTCATTCTGTAACTCCACGGATATCTGCTGGTACTGTACAGAAAACACGTGATTATAAATCAAGAATATTTAACAAGTATTTTCCATTTAGTAGAAATGCCGTTACTAAAACTTTCAGTTACTTAATTACCAATACCCAATTTTTAATTTCCCGAAAGAGCAAACATCTCATCTAAATGTCCACATTAACTCTATAGCTATTCGGATATTGTAGAATGGATATCGACTCAGTCCATTATGAGCTCCCATAAGCCCAGTTGAAGTCCCATTTGCTATGTTTAATATTAAACATATAAGTCGCTCCTACTACTGAAAGACAGCTGTAGACTTTCTGAGGAGTCCATGACATCCTGAATAGTCTGCCTGATTAAGGAGACTCCTGAAAGAAACTGAGGAGCAATATAAAAAACAGTAATTCCAAATAGAGGACTTATTTGTGGTGGGAGCTGCCATACGCTCAGTTTCTTGATTTTATTTTTTATTTTTTTATATGTACAATGAGCAGATCATGTTGCAAAATTTTCATGTAGTGTTCCATCAAATTGCTAACTCATTTACATGGCTGTCAGGAATTAACATCAAACGTTGACTTACACCGTGCTCGTGAGAAGTATGAAACTTCCGTGTTAGCAACATAAAAGAAAATCAGATTTACATCACTTCAAGAGGCAAGAAAGGAAACTCACTCTCCACGAGCAGGTGAACCTCCCCTTACGCTGAGCGACCAGCACAACTCACTAACGCCTTCGATAACGTAAAGCAGATTCGTCTGAGCTCCTCAGTGCTTTCCAAAACTTACAAAATAATATATATTTTTTTCAAAATAAATATATCAGCATAGACATATGTTTTTTTAAACAGTACTCACCATCAACCAAGTAGCTACAAATTATCCATTTTTTACTTCTTTTTTAGAGAGGACACATATTAAAATTCTCCAAATTACCTGTACCAGATTTTAATAATATTGCTTTAAAAAGTCATCTTAAATCAATAAAAATGGCCATTTTAACAGGAAGCATCTAAAGGCAGAATTACTATCACGAGAAAGGGAAAACTCAAAATCTACTAATGTATTCAAAAAACTAGCTTAAAAACTTTACAATTTAATTATTGGAAGATTACAGAACAGCTTCAGTGCCTCTGTACTGAGCAAGGAAGCTGTACGTGTGAGGAGTAATAAATGAAATTGTTAATTTTACTGAGTCCCTCAGGTATAGCAAGAGAAGGAGTGGGAGTTAAGCTATTTAGATCTCCAAATGGATCCTGGTTTATCTGCAATAATAAGCCCTAAACGTGCTGCTAATGAACTCTGCTTCAAACCACGGCCCTTTTTCGGGGCTGAGAAGACATTCTGACTCCGGGGATGACTCACCATTCATATTCTTAAAGATGTTCAGGATGGGGAGGATTTGTCGGTAGTAGGGCACCAAAGCCTCGCCCACCATATCGGCTGACACGACCAGATGCTGGAGAACTTTGAGAGTGACGCAGATGACCTGTCGGTTGCGGAGGTTCAAAGCATCTACACAGT